ACGATGGTCGTTTCTTATTGCGGTGAGTCTTGCCCATTGCCACTAAGTTCTTCACTCGGACAGTGATATCGCAGACTCTTGTGTGTGCTCTTATCCATTCATCCGTTTTCCTACCTTTTGTTGTTATTTCCAACATCCATCTTTCTATGTTTTGTTGCGTAGTCTGTAGTTTTTGAATAGCTTTTAGGCTCAAAATTTACTTTTAGTACCGAGAGCACACACTGGCAGAAAACTTTTCGTTTTAAGCACAGGGCAGTTTTCTGCCTAGGAACATTTTCAGCCTTCCAAAAGTGCTCTATGACATTTTTATTCTTCTGTTAATTTCTCTTAGTAGGTTCTTGGTTGCAGATATCAGCTATCCTAGACAGGCATTATTTTGCACCTCTTCAAACCTAAGAGTTGACTTCAACCGGCCGCGCGGTCACGTATTTGTGAAACATTACCTGAATCTTGTTCAGATTCATTTTCAGTCTTACTTTAGTACTGGCAGTCTTTCAGCTCTTAGATTTTTCACTGGAGTTCTTGGGGCGACCTTGAAAGGACCAGAATATCGTCCACAAACTGTAGGTGGTTCAGGTCGTCAGTTCAGTTCGTCGTTAATTTCCTGTTTTTTTCATCCATGTTCTGCGTGGCGTCGAACGCGTCAAACGGTAAACATGCAACTTATGATGACACATTCAATAGCGTCTATTTGGGTCCCTATCTCATTTTTCATCGCTTCCAATAAACGCCACATTTTCACTGGTGCCAAGAGTAAATGAGTGTTATAGATGGACATATATGCTCTGTTGAACGTCCTGTTAGATCCAATATCTGAACAGAACAGCACAGCTCAGAAACCGCAGGCTGTCTATGGGGCTAGTCACATTTATCGATTCCCGTCAACAAACTTTCATTCATAGAAAATTTACTTTCTTCCATCTCCTCCTCCGTATTAGCTTCTTCCTCACTCGCCAACCAAACTCTTTCGCTGATTGCTTTCGCAAAAATTCGCTCTTGATTCATTCAGATATTTCAAACATCTATTAATCACGTTAAAGGACGCCAATAAACGATTTCTTGACCGAAAACGGGCATTTATCTGAAAATGATTGTAAAAGACACCGCGAAATGCATTGCGTTTTGCTAGTGCGTATTAACTTTACGACCTCTGGTTTTTGATGGAACATTTCAAGTTGGCATAGCACTTCTTTTCAGGTTTTGAATGATCGCTTTACACATAACCAGTAACGTTTTGTTTTTGTTAAACGAAGCTATCGTTTTAAAATAAACGCCAACTTCTTTGCTCTTTGCACACTAAGAATATAATAAGTATTCCAGCTTCAGGCTACGAAAGGCTCAATACATTATTCTTATATCAACTCGATATCATACGCGATAGATTTGTTTTATCCACACGGCCTTATCCGTCGTGAAACAACCGTAAATCTGAAACGCAGACAACATCTATGACCATATGAAAGTAGCAATTTCGGGAACGTTTTTTGTGCAGTGTAAATAGTACTGGTTTATATCTCGTAACCTGGTTTATGTTGCAATCACCAAATTCAGCTGCGACATTCAGATGTATAAATAGCTGATAAGCTAAAATCAACGCTTTGTCACCGAGATGTCGTTTGTACTATTTTTTGCCCCTCTATTCGCATCTGTGTATTTTAATTTAAGCAAATTCGATTAAAAATACAAGTTTAATCTAATGTGAGGAAATTCAGCTCAGAATCTGAAAAAACCTTTACGACAAGAAACCGCATATCGAATTTATTACATGCATATTCTGAAGCGTTTCGGATCAAACTCGGTCGGTCTTGACGGAGACACTTAACATACTGACAGCACACCACTAACATTACTCTAATCTGAGACAGATTCGAGAGAAACAGGAGTCGTTCATTACTTAGTCTTTTCACTTTGCCTTCGAAATACCTGTAATGCGTCAAAGATCCATCGCTGTATGTTGGTCAACTATCATTCTTCCTCATTAATTGCAATAGCTATCTTCTAATCAAGTGCTAACACTGACTTGGTATATGCACCAGCGGATTCGGGTTACAGACAATATCATTTCAGTGTCGGTCACAATTTTATATAAACTATCTCTGGCTAACATTATAAGTAAATCCACTCCTATTTAAATCTGCATTGTCGGTTTTGCCGCTGGAAACAATAGAATCGAGGCCCTTAAGCTGTTAAACTTCTTGTGCTATATTATTTCCATGTGAACCAGTAAGATTTGCTGTTAAAATGGGTTCTTGATGATGTTCTGAAAATTTTGCTGGTATTGAAATGTTGTCGTTTGTAAGTTAATTAAACACCACTGTTTCTCCGTAATCTGACTTTCTGAAGAAATAAATAAAATCTTAAAAATGCCGCTTCGATTGTTCTATACACAAAGAACAGATAGGTGACAAAAATTTCATTATAGCTGCCGAGGTATAAGCCAAACTATACATTGCTATCCTCAGTACAAGCGAGAAAAACTTCATTGTTTACTTTGAGGATGTCAAAAGTAGTTTGGCTGAAAAGTCGGCAACTGTAATAAAGACTTGACGTCTGTCTATTCCTTCTGTCTAGAACCATTAAAGTCGCATTTTTGATGAAGAAGACATAATTGAAATGAATTTTTGAGATGATGACGGCACAGGGCAGGCCTCGGCCGGACTATCACCGTTTGGACGATATGTTCAAATGAACTGAGTAACTGCAGGATAAATTGTGTAAGATGTTTTACTACTGAATGAAAAACTGACTATTCAATGTTTCACATAACACAGGTTATAGTTACCGTTAAGGTTATTTCGATCATATCTGGTACTGACTAAGTCAAGGAAGTTTAAGAATCGTCAAATGAGTTTAAATCTCAACCAGTGACACTTGCAGTGCCTTAATCATGAACTGCACAATTGGGGATCCAATCTTTATTTTTTATATTTGATTGGCAAGAATATTTTTTAATGGCCTCCGTATCATCATTGGCAACCGGATTTGAGGGAATTAGTTCCTTGATCAATTAAAATTGCAGGGGTTATAAATTCGTAAGGAACGCTTTTTGTACAGTGCAATTCGGCATTTTAACACATTCATTGAAGACCATTTATGCTGAAGCCTTCGATAAGGTTTAGAAGCTTGTGTTTGGCATGTTTTGATTGAAAATGATGGTGAAGTTGGATGAAAACTGGTTTAAGTGCTGGTTGTTTCGAATCTCTGGGAAGAAATAGAAATGGAACTACTGAGACAGAAGATACGACTAGTGCACGATGCACGACTAGTAAAAGATGTCCAAGGTAGACAAGAAAAGCCATTTTGAAGAGGCCACCGATTACTGTTCTTAGCAAACCGCAGTTCAAGCTGCATATAGTTTGATATAGCGAATATCAAAGTACTTACTTTCAATTTCTAGCTGAAATGTACATACGGACCAGAAAAGATGCAAAGCACCGGTCTAGTTTCAGTCAGTTTTGTGACAGTTTTTTATTCACGTAGTTGATGCTAGTTTTCGCAGTAGGTTGAAGTCGGAAACTCTTACTTTGATGTTTACAATGAAACATTTCTCAAAACTAAACTTCTTTCTTGAAATGAAACGCATTTTCAAATGACACTGTTCGTACCCGTCTTCGCGTCAGGTGGTTTTATATAATTCCAGCTATATGGAGCTTTATTTCCGGTCAAAAGTATGACCTCTCCCTTTCGCTTTTCTCGTGCTCATTCATCTGGCGTCAGCTGACCTTTGCCCTTCATTTATTTTCACGCAACTTCCACTGTACTACTCGACAGCGTAGCCGAAAACGGGGCCGTCCGACGACCAGCGACTGGCCGACAGGCAGATGGGTGAAATTCCATTGTTTGTCGATGAAGCAGCACGCGGCGAATAAATAACGTTTTTGTCAGTTACATTACAACAGCTGTTCACATAAATAAGTGCATCCATAGGTGGCTTTAATGACCACCAAACGAGTCGCTACGTGCTGGTTCCAGTTGGCGACCTGCTTCTATTATTGATCATGACACATTTTGATTTTCCGCTTGGTTTAATATCACCTAATTCGATGGTAATATGCCCGTTTGTTAAGAAGCTTTCTTGCATTCTCCGTTCTCATTTTCCATTCGCGCCCCGACGCTGAGCACCAGCTGCTTTTCTAGATTTGCCGACGACGTTTGGCGAAAAGACATCGACTGCAGAACTTGCCTCGCATAAATTTTGCACGAGAGCATTTCATGCTGGAAAGCTATTTGTACAGATCAACGTACGTTTGACTAAGTGAAACTTATTCTATCATAAGCTTATGGTGACACTACGCATAATTGTTTGCTGCAGATACACAGGCTGGAATAATGTCGTCTATTCCACGTGACTCTTAAAATGGTGTCTTTTTACATTGATTTATCCATGGGAACAGATGAGGCAGAACCCCCAGT